AAAAAAAAAAAACACTTGGGAAATGTTGGGTCAATGGAATATTGTTCTCCCCTCTGAGTTCACAGGCTAAATTAATCGTATCTCTCAAGGGCAGAAGTGAAACACCCTAATGACATCAATCCCATGCAGAAAAAGCCACGCTGCTTACTGGCCCAGCTGATACGTCTCAGCATTCAGCACGCACAAAAGTTGTGACGTAGCAGGGTAGGACAATGAGACATAAATTGCATTCTCTTGTTTATTGGCACTGAAAGCAGTTTCATTGCAAGGCATTGTCTATGGCTTGGTAAAGGTATAGCTTTTACCCTAGAAAGGAAAGTGGAGAAAGCCTACGGGGTTAGTTTTAGATTCAGTGTCTTATACTAAGTGGCTGAACATGCCAGCCTCCACGACAACCAGCATATCTCCAGTGGAATACCAGTTTGATTGTCTGCAGACTCCAACAATACACTTCATAAAATGCCTACAATGTATGTTTTCCAGACAGGATCTTTTAAAGAGGATTTTAAACCTTTACTATGTTTTTTTAATGAGTAAAAATTACCAGATGACAAAGAGTAAAGCGAAAGCCTGAATTTGGAATTTGTTTTTGCGCCCAAGGCTAGGAGGACTTACCAGGAGGAGGTGGTGCGGCTCTCATAGGATAAGTCTGACCTTGAGACCTGTTGGAATACCCTCTACTTTGGGTGGGGTTCCGTCTAGTAGGACCTAAAAGGAACCAGAAACGTTTTGTTACCCTTTCACAATTACATTAATTAGGTAAGTCCATCTGGCTGTCAGACCCCTACTCTGTGATCAGAAAGAACTGATCTTCAGGAATAATGAATCTGACTTCTAGTGTTGGCCAGGTTATGCTAAATAAAGCTTGAGGTGCAACAAGGATGACTTAGGCATATTCTCCCTTTTGTGATCCAGTTCAGCCACAGGATATACAGTAAAGCTGTCTCAAGACTACTGTAAACGAGGCCCAAGAGACTGTTAGCTTTATGAACTTGTTTATGAACCACGGATAGGTGGCAGAGCAGTACTTTTGACTATACTGTTTCTGATCAGCATTTACTATGAGAAAAAGGTAGGACACGAAACCTGAGAGGCTGGTACATTTGCAGCTCAATCTCTGGTGATGCACAGAGGTTACCTTTCCTCATACCACAACCCATCCTGTCCCGATGCAGACCTTTCTTCATCAGCAAGGCTGTAGGAACTGCAGGAGCTCAGAGCAGAGTGCAAGGCTCTTCCCTAAAATGCTTGGCTAATTGTGCCATTGGTACTACGTCACATGATTAAATGCCCTCATTTCTTCTGCTGCAGGGCAAAGAATTTCAGACATTTCAGAAAGAGTTGGTATATAGTGAAAGTAACAGAATTCCAGCATGACTGTAGAACAGCAGGGAATTCCGCTGGATCATTAGGATCTATAACTTGGATCTTCTTTTAAGTGTTACAGAGAAATAATAAAGAACATGCTGAGGCTAGAGGCGAGCAAGGAGACAAAGGGTCAACCATTCTCTAAATTTCTAAACCATTCACTAATTTCTAAAGGAAATTCATACTTACGGGAATTCTTTGGTAGCCCTGGTCCGATGCTGATCTGCAGCACTTTATTACTTGGCTTGAGAATGGCTATATCTCCTTGGCCTTGCATAAATTGCACTTGTCGAGAACCACCACTACTCCAGGGCCCCCAACTCTCCTTTTTCAGCTTCACTTCAAGTCTAATATAAGCACATGAACACATGAATAAAAAACCAGAAAGTATTTCTATGTTGAATCAGGACAATATCACTTGGCAGCAGATAACTTAGAAATATAAAAATAAAAAGCTTAGACTGAGAATCTGAGCAACTTAACTGACATAGAACACCTAATTAAATACCTTTTTCATGCTTTTTTAAATATTCCTTTTAATTGATGTTTTAACTTTCACGGTGGAGCTACGCAAAGGAAGTTTAAGATGCCCTGGATTGGATGGAGAGTACAGTGAGCTTTGACAAAAATGTACAAAGGTCTGAGTAAGAGCTGTGTCCGCCATCAAACATCACTGCCTCTGCAGCAGACACTACTGGAGCAAGCTAGAGTGCTCCATTCCTAAATGTTCTTCTCTATATACCATTAGATGTATATATACATTAGATGTGTATATATATATGTATATACATTGGCATGTATATGCCAATATATGCTTTAGGAGTGGGTCTTGTGCATATTCTGGGAGTATTTTTGCATACATATAGTTCAGTCTTTCCAATTTAATTTTTTTTCCGTGCGCACACGCGCACACACACACACACATATATATTCTTTCCCAGCATTTCCACGCTATCCATCTTCTTTGAACTGTAATCATATGTGAGCTAAGGAATGGTTTGGTTTTGGGCAAGACACCCCAAATACATTAGATGTGTATATATATATGTATATACATTGGCATGTATATGCCAATATATGCTTTAGGAGTGGGTCTTGTGCATATTCTGGGAGTATTTTTGCATACATATAGTTCAGTCTTTCCAATTTAATTTTTTTTCCGTGCGCACACGCGCACACACACACACATATATATTCTTTCCCAGCATTTCCACGCTATCCATCTGCTTTGAACTGTAATCAGATATGAGCTAAGGAAGTTATGGTTTGGTTTTGGGCAAGACCCCAGAAGTACAATACATTACATCTTACACGAACAAAAAATTTACTCCTGGTACTGGGTTTGGATTCCCAGTGTATAGGAGTATACGCTACAGGAATGTTCCACACTTCAATTGTCCTCCTACACCCCTTCCAAGCTAAAATAATAATCTCCTGTTACCTTTTATAATTCTTCCACTTTTTCGAAGGAAATAAAATAAACATACAAATCCAAGGCCTGCTGCTGTTAATCTGCTTAATGAGTAGGAGTATTAACAAACGCACATGTTTGTTGGGATAGTTTCCAGCATGCCCTTACAGCTAAAATGCATATCAGACATTCTGCAGCTTTTCAGGCTTGTTTCTAAAAAATGTTCCCAATGTTATTTACTTAATGAGGCTCCTTTAGAATTATCCTCTCACCCTGCAGTCCTCTGTCCCCACAACAAACTTCAGAATTTCAGACTGTTACATTATGTCTCCAGAGCTGTCTTTCAAACTCTTCATCATGATGTTTCCACTCCTAGGCCAAGGTTAAAGAGTTGGAAGAGGATGCTCCTCTCTCATGACAGGAAACAGCAGCCAGCAGAGAGATGGAGAGCTTGCGCTATGGTTGCACATTAACCGTGCAGTGACCGGCCTGGCCCCTGCTGCGGGGCCACAGCCTCGCTGGCACAGAGCTGCTCTGTAGCACAAAGCTGCAGGCCCTTGAGCCTGATGCCATGTTCAGGAGAACGAAGGCAACTCGTCTATGCACATAGGCAGTGCAAACTGGCAGATGGCCCAGGTACAACCCTAACCTATTACCCTGACGAGCTAATCAGAAAGCCTGGTCTACTTCACACTGTGCTGCCTCTTATTGTTTCAAAACAAAGCATAGTGTCAGGAGCTCAACAACTAGCACTCGCTCATTTGCCTTGGCAGCAAGAACAAAGATTATTTATTCTTAAAAGCCTATTGAAAAAAAACATAACTCACGTATTGCTAAATTTCAGAGGTAGTTTTCTTTGTATTTTCTCTTCGTATCGTTTTGCTAAGAGGCTTAAAAACTCAGTTTTGAAGACTGATTCGAGCAAACTATCATATTCCTGTTCATGTAGAATGAAAATGTCATCCTGCATTGTGCTGAAAAGAAATCAGAGCACATACCATTCAGATTAAAATTTCATCAGCAAATCCAGCCAGCATTATAATGACATTTGCAGTGTACTCATGGTTAATTTTTAAAAACATAAGAAAGCCCAAGCAGCATTAACTGGAGAGTCTTGCTTTCTGAGAACAGGTTTGGTTTTTTTCAGGAGGTGATAATGGAATATCTGAAACAATCCTTTTTGAGAGACAGGAATACTACTTAGTCATTTTACAGTAATTACTGTTATCAAAAGAATATGTACTATTAAGTTACAATTGAAGTCCATCTCTTCAACTACGGCAAAACTTGTGATTAGATGTGAATTGGAAACTTGAAGGTTACTAAAGTAAGACTGAAACCCAAAGCAAGCAAATTCGGAATGAAAGCCTTCAACTTTCTACTGGCTTTAGCTTGGACTGGTTTAGCACAGCATAAAAACCACACATGTTGGGTTCTGTTGCCACCTTTAGATCAACTCCTATTTACACCTGCTGAAGAAGCTGCAAACCACTTCACAGAAAATGCTATCCACATCAGTAATTTGCAAGGCTGATTTCTGCGCTTCCAGAGTCCCCACAGTAAAAAGAGTTCTTTCATGTCCTAGCCAGGATTACTATTGTTCCAGCACACTTCTAATTTGTTTGTATGTGTATCGTTCTTCCTTTTCACAGCACGTAGTTCCTAGCTGTAACTACATTGGTGCCTGTCTGCTTCTGCATCCTCTCTACAAAGAGGTATAAACAAAGCTTTCCAAATAAAACTGTAAGACCTTAAAATGGAGGCCATGGGTCCCCCCTTATTTCATTACTTGAACAGCATATAAGCAACTATAGGATGCTCTGGTTCTATTTGCTGATCTGACAGTAAACTAATTGTATTTTGAGGCTGGTTAGCATCCCACTGGATGAGCTTACAGAACCAGGTCACTGCATGGGAGCGCAGTGCTAGATCAGACACAAGAAAATGGTGGGAGCATAACGACAGAGGGAGGGGACTGCCCCTTGGGCAGCCACCCACGTTTGCATTGGATTATAAGTGACAAGAAACCTCTAATCTCACGTGTGATTTCATAGCCAGTTTAAATCAAGTTAACATTGTTGTGCTGTCAGAAGGGGCAAACTTCCCTCTGCCCCTCACCCTTTTTATTCAGGCGCATATCTGTTCCTTTCCTCATGCTAGAATCCATCCTCTGCCCTTTCCTGGTAGATTAATTTTCTGCTTCCCTTACTTTTCAACGTCTCATCCATATCCCCATGCAGCCACCTGAGTGCTAGCTAGTGTAGGAAAATGTGTGGCTGGGAGAAGAGACAGCACAGGACTTTTGACAACTGTGCAGAGCTGAGCATTGCTTAACCTCCTCACAAAACAATTATCACATCACCAGCATGGTATTTCACAAAATGGAGTACAACCAATGAAGAAAGGAGCATTAGTTAGATATTGTTAAGTATTCATGGCAGAAAACGTATGGCTCCTTTTCACTGTTGTTTAGTCCGCTGCAGGAATTCTGAGGCCAAAGCTTCTCTGCTCTTTCATCAATGTCGTTGGTCAATCTTCTGCTGCTATTACTAATATCAGAAAATACTATTTTAGAATAGCAATTTATTTCAATACATTAGATATCACTTACTAAGTGAAAAAGGCACTGTCAGTTTGCATTTCTCTCTGGAGAAATGGACCTTTCAAATCCTGTTGGACTTAGAATTAACATTCATTATGAGCGTTCACTGTTTTTTCTAAGAAACAGTATATGTAACTCAGAAGCGTGAACATAAGCATTGCAGCGGTTAAGGCTGTGGAAAACCAGGCAGGTAGCTTTGGCAGCCAGGTGAAGGGCAAGCCAAAGTTACATACCTATCACTAAGACACAGCTTCTTTCAATGGTTTGCATAGCAATACATCACACAAAGAAGGTGCTGATATCTCACCTAAATCTATGTATGCATTGCTTCAACATTTCAGAGTAACTCCAAAAGTAAATTAATTATAGCACATAAGGAACTCAAAGAACATTCAGCTCAGAAAGAAGCAGCCTCCACCTTCTATCAGAGACAAAATTAGGTCTATTTGCCCTCATCACTGTTTTTGGATCCTAACTACCTAGCAATCAACAGCTTCCCACTTTGAGCATGCTCCTCCCTTTTCCTCTCCCAGCTGGTGTGCCTGATTGCTGACTCTATAAATCTGAAAGGGGGGGAACAGGCCTAGCTTTCTGACCCTCACTTTCCATCTGGTTACTGAAAACTATGACTCCCTCTACAGACTGTGAGTACCTTTTTATGCAGAATTAAAAATCGCTTCATAGTGCTGCTAGAGGTGCTCTTGACTGTCAGGTATGAAAATACAATTCTAACCTACTTGAAACATTAGGTAAAGGATGAGTTGTACCACTGCCTGTTTTTCTAAAAATCTACCTACCACCTGTGTTCCATAATCTCCTTCCAAATTCTGAAATCTTTCCCATAGTTTGGAAAAGGGTGTATGAAACTACAAACATACCTAATTAGTATTCAAAATAGCAATAAGAAATCTATAGAGTAAGAGCATGACCTTCTTTCCTATCATCAAGCAGATCTGGAGTCTCAGCAAGGTTCTGAATGAGACATGTAAGAAAAGCCCAAGACCTACAGTAAATATTATCCAGTTAGTGGTCCTATTTTTGCTGATTTGGCAAAGAGTCTGACTTAACAATACTGTTAGGATGTCCGGTGTCACTCCTCATCAGATGAATTACAAAGCTCAGTTATTTATTGTTACTAAAAACACAAGAACATTTCCATGAGAGTATGGGTTGTCATTCTCAGTACCCTGAACAAATTCCAAGTTGGGCATTTGCACTTTAAATTGCAAGTACTTTAGTAATTTAAATTGTTATGTAGTGTTAGTTGCCGTTAATACATGCCAATAGTGCTGATTATTCTGCCTTTACTGTGTAGAAGTGTATTAATACAAGCTTACACCAATATATTTCACATGGGTTTCTTGGGAGATATTGTTTAGATAGCAATGCAAGAATCCATTTATCCTATCTTCCCCTTCCATTTCAAATGTATTTCATTTTATATTAATTTAGTTAAAATTTAATATTGCATGAAAAATAGAAGAAATAAGAATTGAAACTCATAAAACTTTGAGGCTGCAATACAGAATAGAGCTAAATCCATTCTGGATAAGCTCATGAAGAATGTTACTGAAATTATTTTCTTCCAGCACAGAGGTTTGAGATTCACTTCAAAACCAGTCAGAAGTCAATTACCTCAGAGGTGTAGAAAATTTAAACTATAGGGATAACAAGCTGGAGTTTCGAAAACACATGAGAGAATGCCAGTTAGAGCTAACACAATTTTTGCTTTGAGCCTGACTTCTGAAAAACTGTTTTGCAGGTTTTTGGTTTTTTTCTTGCCCCAGAAATACATAGTAGGTAACACATGTACTAAATAAAGGTTTCACTCTAGTTTTACTAATTGAAGACTGTTAAATATTACAAGCACTAACTCTTGTCACTGAGACAAGATTATCTCATATTTGAGAGAAGCAGTACCTTTTACAGTCTCTGCAGCCACAGTGCTGTATTACTACTAAGCAGCTTCAATACAGAGTTAAGAGATCCTTTGATTAAGACCCATTTTGAACTCTGGCAATACTAACATGATAACAGGGAAAAGCCCTCTTGCCCCCACAGGTTTTTTAGGGTTTGGTTTTGGAGGAATACCTGGATGGTTTGATAGCTTGTAGTTTTAGCATATACAAACCCCAGTGTTTTTTACAACAAAATAAAATCAAGCTAAGTTCAAAACATTATTAGACATAATGTAACATACATATTTCCTCTGAACTAAGCACATTTGGTTTTGCTTCAGAAGGTTCTGTGGAACCATTATTTACATGCGAGTGGAGTGTAACAGCTTTCACTAACTTGGCAGGCAGCCATCCTTTTAGCTGACTCAATGTGACTATGCCTTTGGAATGCTACAGGCCCAATTCAAGCGTCTGGCTGCAATCTGTTCAAGGTTTGCACAGCACACAGTCCAGACTCGGAGCCCTAAAAAGACAGGTTCCACTCTCATCTTTAAGCTAGATCTACTACAGCTATTTTGTTGCAACTTTTGTTATAAAGATGTATGATAAATAAAACACACATTTTGAAAATGGTACTGTGAGCAGACACACCTTACAGACCTTTCCCTAATCTTGAAACGGCTGTGAAGAATTCTGCAAAAATGTGAAATCTGCTGGTTGTAAGTACTGGATAATGTCTGTGAGAAGATTTCTGGCTATGCTAATGGGAACGTTTTATAAGCATATACTAAAAAACCTTTGCAGTAGCTATCAATACACAGTACTCAAGTGTAGACTTGTATTCCATTAAAATAGTCATTTATTTCAATATTTAAAGTACACTTGTTGCCGTGGATTGGTATTCTTTTGTATTAAATTACACTCAGCTACCAGCTCTGATAAACTGCAATAACAAATGCAGAGGTATCCAGGGACTTTGTTCACTCATCTTCAAAGGGATGAAATGATATAGGCAAGAATCCACTGGTCTCACAGGCAGTTTCTTCCCGTTTTTGCTCACCTAACTGGGTTTCTCAGCTCTGTGTGGACCCCTCAGATATCTCCTGCAATCTGGGATTGGCTTGACATTCAGTCAACAGAAGTTATGTGAAATCCAACTAGAAATAAAGGTTTTAGTAGCTCACCAGAAAGAGAACACCCTTTTAGGAAGCAGTGGACATGTGCGAGGCGTACTTCTATAAGTAAGAATTATTTCTGGGATATAACCTTGAGCCAAAACTTAGAAGAACCTGCTTGTGCATGGTGAATATATAGTCTTCACATTTTGGGGAACACACCAGACAGGTGACACCCATTGTAAGTGAAACATTTTAACAACTAGTCAGAAAATGTTTGTGTTGGCTATAAACATAAACACCAACGCCTACTGCTATAACATGCTTACTAGGGCTGGGAGTGAAAATAAGGCTTTGGCTTTCTTTGTTTACAAGATTCAATTAATACAGCTTAAGAAATTCACCCTTCATCAATCCACTTATTTCTCCCCTGTCTTAGACAGATTTCTCTGTCAATAGAAAGATATTTTCAAGGTACTGACCTTAGAGAAACGGAAAGAATTCTCTCCAGTTCCATCCTTCGCTTTAAGACTTCCTTCACTTGGCCTTTCTCTGGGCCCTGTTTTATCTTTTCACGCCCAATCAGGTATATGCACTTTGGAGTAAGGACAAGATCTCGCTTCACTGTCTGAAATATAAAATTGTTTGAAAATGCATAGCTACATGGAGATCGATGCACTAATGTTGTGATGCTGTTCCAAAGATATACAATGTACTATGATTTGGGGCAATACTGTTAGTCTTTGGTTCAAGTGAAAAAAAAGTACCGATGTGATTAATCACATGACCTCAGAGTCAGGTTACACAGGACAGAAAAGTAGCTTTGCTCCCCATTTCCTAATTAATGTAGCTTTCTGCCCAGCAAGTCCCATAAAGCCTTCATCCTGCAACAACAGGTTTGATGATGGCAATGTTCTGATCACAAGGGTGTAACTGCTTCCCTCTGTGTCTTTCTGTCAAAGACACTTTTTTTCAAGCTGGTATCCTAGATGGTATGACACTAACACGGTGGAGTTTCTGTTAAAGGATGGTAAAGATATCTGTAACTCCCTAGCAGAACCAATCATTAGTGGATGTTGCTCTTAAACCTACCTTAAACCGTCTATCATATTTAATGACGGTGTCTGCAAAATCAATCTTCTCCCGTTTGCCCACAAACTGGCGTAGCTCTGGATGGTCCTCCATGCCTATGTAATCTCCCACAAAATTCCTGTTAATGCTGTTCCGTCTTCTTTCTTTCTTGTTCAGCAATAGATCTGATGCTTAAATACCAAAAATAAACATTGATTAATAGTATCTACTAAATTTTCTAAACTCATGATCTGAAAGCGCTAGCTGTTTCAAGCAGAACTTTTTTGGAAGAAGTGATAACGAAATTGTTTACAATACGGAAAAAACAGTGAAGCACTGCTACTGATCCTTTATATAAGGATCCATGGGATTATTAAATCCATTCCTAATGAAATACACTGACGGCAAGCTCAGCAGTTCTGATGAATCGGGAGCACTTCTGGAACTAAGGAATTTCTCATTCATTGCTGGAAATTAAAGATGAACTCTTCCAAACCCAGAATGTTGTTCATTCACATAACCCAGGTCACACATGCGACTAAACATTACAGTCCTTGGATTGATTAGTATCATCTACAGACCATCTAGGTCCTGTATAACTGTGGGAAGCTTTTCCTTTTTCACTTCCCCTGGAACATCCCTGATCTCTGTCCTACTCAGTCTGGCTTTGTTTTGAGAGCAAAACACTGGGTAGTCCAAGAAATCCATGCATGCAGAGCAGCCAACCTCATCAGTGGTACCTTAGGGGTCCAACAACTTGCAGTCATTCCTAGACAGTCATCTGCAATGCAATGGTTTGCTCTACAGAGAGGGAGATACTTCCTTCATCTCTTGTGGCACTCTTTCTGCTCCTTCAACCACATGTGAAATATCTGTCATCAGAAGTTACAACCTACCTTCTTCTCTCATCTGTACGTATTTTTTCCTGGCCACGTACTTCCTCCATGCCTTCTGGATGGCCCTGGCATACCCATCATACTTCCTCTCTCTCATCTCTTCTAACAAAAATAGCTGTACAAAGAGACAGTAGGGTGGGTCAAACATTTTACATGAAAAGTTCAAGACAAAGCCATATGTTACTTTCAACAACTTTCCAGTGCATTTCACTCTAGATCCAAGCTGGTGCCTCTACCACAGCTACGGGATCTGAGATCAGAATGTTAAGGTACCCTTTTCTGGAAGAAAGTTCTGATGCTTGAGTGGTTCTGACGCTTGAGTGGTTCTGACTCTTACCAGTCTACCCATTAATCTTGATACCCAATGATGAAGGAAGAGGAATATGGATTCTCCCTGCAATATTCTACGGGCGCAACTCAAGGTTCTCCACTGGGCATCCATCCAGCCTCCATCCTCACATTCTCCAAAATTCACATTTCTCTTGTCAGAATGTTACCATGTCTATGGGGATCTGTGCAATGTGTAACACAACGCACTGTATTCACATGCAACCCTGTCTGAATTTCATACTCTTATGTCCATTGGCTCCATTCTTTCCCAGCAGTGAAGTTGGTTGGTTGGCTGAAGGATTTACAACGATGATCTTGTATTTCAGTATGACATAGTAAGATTTTTTTGGGGGTCTAAAATGTTGTCAGAATTCAAGAGGAAATGCTGATTTATCAAAACAGAAAGAAAAGGTGCATCCCCCTTTTTAAGAATTTCCCTGATCCCACTAAAATATATGTAAGTTTAATGCATTAGAACAACTTCATAATTATTGTAGGATACAGCATATTTCACTATAGTCTTTTACATACTTCAAGTTTAGTTAAATGTTTTCTTGTCTCATCAGAAGCACAAGCATTTGGCTAACAATTACAGTACTAAATCAGTCCACTGATACGACTGTTGCTTACTATTTCTCTCTACTGTGTGTTAAATATTCATAAGGACTTTTCTTCTAGCTCTCAAAAGAGATAAAATCAGTAAAAACAGGTATATCAAGAAGCAAACCTGGACTTTAGGATCTTTTTTTTTAATTTGCTGCCCTAAACCATACAAATCTAGAAAAATACTGTTGTTCATATTGATCTTAAAAAGGAAACTTGATCTAGTGCAAACCATTTCCGCAGAACCTCACTTGCCCTTGTACAGAGTTATTTATTCAGGTGTTTGATGGAAATGTAAATAATGAAACCTCCTTTCTGCCACCCATAAAACCTTATTTCACAGTTGGCAACTCTCCATCTACAGCAAACTTCTTAAAAAAAAAAAAAAAAAATCTCTTCACAAACACACAAGCACTAGATAGGGTTTCAGCACACAGGCATGAGTGCTCCTGATGCAAAAACTTTCTCAACTCCAGCAGGGGCATGATTGAGCCCTTGTGCAATTCAGGTTACAGTTACAATATTGATGTTGTCTCTCATGAACATTCACCATTTATTTCTCTAACAGTAATGCTAATTGCAAAATCTCAATGCAAAACAGTCTATCCCCTGCAGTTGAAGGTCACAATTAAGGAAGTTCAATGAAAACGTTGAGTTAAAATATGATTCATAAGTTATAAAATAAATATACTGCATAAATTCTTTCCTAAAATATGCATTATAAAGCGTCCCCTCACACTCCTGAGCAAATCAAGTATTTTTCATCTGATTAACCACAACAGGTGCTCTCTTCGGTGGTAGAAAGAAAAATTTTCATTTATCATCTAAAAGATTGTTTTTCTCAAAAGTAATATAACCCTAGCCAGTACTTTAGTAATACAAGATGAGAGATGATTGTCTTTGATACTAAAAGATATAAATCAAGCTTTAGAATATTCAGCTCATAGAAAATTTTTCAACTTAAAATGAAAACAGCCCAGACTATTTTTAGTACTTGTTTAAAAATGGATTTCATGACTTTTCAAAAAAAAATTTTTTAAAGAAAATGTATCCATTAAATGCCACATACATGCAACCAGGACTTAGTATTACAAAAATGCATTAAATGGGAAGATGCATCCATTGGAAAAAAAATTCTTCCTCTTGGAAACAACCCAGTAGCATATGATGCTGGGGTACAGAATATCAACCTTTTGGCCACTTCAGAGTGAAGGGGAACTCGATCCTTCAGTCCTACGTGAGCGCTTGCCACTTGACTATTAAACAGAAGACAGACACCAGCAAATGATTTCATGTTGTTCTTTGAAAAACAACAGGAATAAGACCCACCCCGTCTGTGAAGATATAGGTGCTGAAAATCTGTGCTATTTTAAGGGGCAAACATACCAAGCTTAAGGTATTTCAGCAGCCAGGAAAGGAAGATAGTTCCTTCTATGATTTATTATATAAACTGAAAACAAAAATACTTTAAAATTTTTGATTGATTTATCCATAAAGTAGCATAATGTTGACAAAACAGCCATCACATAAATTATTTTGGTTTCTTCCCTGAATTTTTTATCTGAAACTGAGATTGCATTTGATTTGTACCTAACTGCAATGAATGGCATGGATGCAAAACAATTTCACAGTGAAAACAAGAAAATCAGGTTTGCTACAGTGTAAGATAATGAACACAGGACTAGAAGATGTTGCTTAAATTACTAATTCTGGTCCCTTGTAATTACAAGCAACTAAGTTGTCTGTATTAATTCAAATAGATACTTGACTAAAACGTGTACTTGTCACTACCCTGTAATAAACTTGAGGTCATCAGTAAAGGACTAAAAGTCACAACTGTAATTTCAACAAGAAGAGATATCAAAGACATCCACTAACGTCCAAGGCTATCACACTGATAGACACTGAAGACAAAAGTCCCCAGTAATCAGAAAATAAATCATGGCCTGTGCTACAGAGGAAAGCAGATAAAGCTCACGCTTCCTCATAACTGGCTAGCTAAGGTGTTGCTTACAATGACTAAGTAGGAATAATCCTATACTAGAATTTCCTGCTCTGCCAACATGCACCTAAGTATTCTGATGACCTACATCTTGATTGCTATACGCTTTATAATATAAACATGTCTCTCAGATGGCAGGAATGTAAAGTCCCATTATTCCTGAATAGAGATGATACTATCTTACCCTATTTATGGCAGAAACAACACGATTTCTATTACGACTTGGAGAAGTGTTACCTTTTTCCCTTTAACAGAGATCTTCCCATGTAACTGGGCACAGCAGTGTCATTGCCTGAATTACTGTTGTTCTACAGAGCAAAAAATATGTTTCCAGAAAAGAAAACGACAGCAATAGAAGTGTTCTGCTTTTATTTTGGCATGTAACTTCAGGTAAAGCACCAGGAAACCACTTAATGCTCAACTGCAAGGTATGCTATACAAACTAAGCCCGATTGCTTCTGATAAATAAAGAATACATGACAGTGAGTAGAGCGTATTTTTTTCCTTGACAACTTTCCTGAAGAGTGATTTAAGAAAACTTTTTTCCAACAGATGTGTTGTGCAGTTTAACAGCCACAGGATAAAAACAGCCTTATGATGCCTCCCTAACATTCTCTTTGAATGGGATTTCAAGTTGCAGTCATTCTGGAACATTCTGGAACTCGATGCATAACATATCCTTACTATAACTGGGGGCTATTCTGCTTTCATCCGTAGTTCTTGTACTGAGAAGAGGACCTATTTTCTTGGGCTAATGGTCATAGATATGTTTTCATGCCATGATATTCCTTCATATGACAGTTTCTCTGATGGAATGTCACCATGTGCAACCTGACACCAAAGCAGGTGTCATATCCCATCTCCTCCTCTTGATGCATTTAATGCTCCTTGTATTAGTGTCAAAATCACACAGCGTCCTTTTGTACCATGCCCATTATAAAAGTGCCTAGAATCCCTGTACAGCCTCGAGGCACCTGTGACAGACCTGCCCAGCTTGACTTATCTTCTTATGCTTCTCCCACCCTAGCAGATGTCATGCTCAACTTCTGAGTGGGCAGGCCTTTAATTTCAGCAAAACAGTTTCATGTTCAAAGACTCACGTTCTGCCACACTTACAGACTCTGGAGCTTTTATGAAGACTTTGGATTTCCCAAGCTGGTATTGGTCAGGATCCATGTTGACTGACTGAAGCAGGTGGAGAACTCCTTGTTTCTCTTCTCCTTTCCAGGAAGGCCAGGTTGCTTTGGTCAGAATGGCATACCTTAACCACCAAGGAGAAGAGATTAAAACCTGACATCAAACAGCAGCAACAGAATACCACTCACTCTTAGTCAGTATTACCCTAGGGGGAGGGT